TCGAGCAGGAGGCTCAGCGAGAAAAGGCTGAAAAACACCACAGAGATAAAATGGAGCTGCTCTCTGGCATCTTGGGTGTCCTAAAGGATTTAAACAAATGAATTCCAGCTCTTGAAACTGGCTTTTACTTTGCCCGTCAATTTTTGAACAACATATTACTGCATATGGACTATATAAAGTTGCAAATGTTCAACAAGTTACTTTTATCTGCTGAAATCTTTTAACAGACATTTTAAAGTATTATTTCAAAACCAAGGATATTTATTATATGTTATTTATATATTTGAAGTGAAACAGTTTATAAAGTTCATGTTAATGCAAGATATAAAATGATTTTATACTACTTATTATTAAAAGACAATTTTTAAAATTTGTGGCAGATGTTATTGAGTATTTCATAGAAAGGGAATGGCTTTATCTGATGTGCTGGGTAATTACAACATACTCTGAAAATTCTGCATAACACAGTTATAAATTTTGTTTAGAAATGCTGCTAGCTGACAGACTACATGTTGATCATGATTGGTATAAACATCCAAGTAACAAGTAATGTTACTACATGTGCCCATAGGGGTTTTTTGCTGAAAGCTAATACAATTTTTTTTTTCTTAAATTCCCATTTTGCTTGAGTTTACTGCTCAACATTGAATTTAAGAACACTGAACAGTTCTTGGCATAGGAACACAGTTCATTGAACTTTGTTTTAGAGCAGATTTGGGCTGGTTGAATTTGTGGGGGAAGGACAGTGTGCAAACATAATATATAATATAGCTTCAAAGGGGAGTATGGCTATAAAGCAGCTGAGAGCATGATGTAGGTGTGGCAATAAACTTATAATTACCATAATACGGTGGCATCAATAATTGTGGCAAGAGTAAATGACAAATCTGACGAAGCCTGTACTACAGGAGCAAACAAATGTTCATACAAGGTGACTTTGTAGATTCTTTCTGATGAAAGATATTGTTCCCTTCATTGTCATATTATGGTGCAGGGCAGTTTGGATAAGTGAATGTTATTTTCCAGAAAATGGAGACATCTTCTGGATGGATGATTCAAGCTGTTCAAAGAAACACAATTTTTTGACTGGCTAGTAAGCAGGATTTGTACAATAACAGGTAAATGCAAATTTGATTTCTCACCCCTTATAATTATTTTGGCTTTTTTAGCATTATAAGGGGTTGGTGCAAATAGCAATCATTACGTATATTACAGGGACATTTATTACATTTGTAGAAGCCCCCTCCCCCTTCCACCTGTTATAATAAAACAAGAATGAAATTACAATTGTGGTCTTAAACTACTGTCTGGGTAAAATACACTAAAAGTCCAAGCTTCCGTGTCAGTTTAAAAAGGATGAGCTCATCGTATCACATAATCGTGCGGTCCGGGAAAAGATAAGCTAACAAATAATAGAAAAGCTATATAGGTGGGTTAATCATATTTGCAGCTGTCCCCAGAGGAGGAGCTAGAAGTCCGCAGTTGCCTAGCTGCAATAGAGACGGAAGAAAGGAAGAAAGAATTTAAAAAGAAGGAAAAAGAACTGGAGGAAAAGGAAGAAAAATTGGTGCAAAAAGCCACAGAAATTAGAAATGCCACCATAGAAGCCAAGCGGGTGGCTGCCCAGCTACAACTAATGGCGGGGCAGCTTGGCCGCTTGGCCAACAAAATTTTGGCAGAAACCAAAAAATATAAAAAAATATAAAAAGAGATTCAAACAGCAGCATGACCTTTGTTAAAATTTATTATGCAAATCAAGTTTTCTAATACAAATTGTTATTGGTAAGGGAATGGCATGCGAAGTCCTTGTTAGTTGTGTCCAGAGGCGAACCTGAATATGTAGCAAAATAAACTTATTTCTCGCATCCTGTAGAATCTTTTCCTTTTCCACCGTATCCACACCTATGTCTCCATCCATCGCTTTCCTATATTATACCACTATCTCTGTGAAATTTATCACCCATACTGGTTCTGTACAGGCTTCCAATTGGCAGGCACCCCCTCCACCCGACACAGCAAACATTCTTCACCACCATGCACTAGTATCAGTCCTCACCATCCACAGAACCTTCTCGCTCATGGAAGCACTTTATTTTGCAACCTATCAGATAAATTATAAAAAAAGATATTTATAGACATACAAAAATCCAGGTATAGAAAATAAATAAACATAGACAATATAACCCCGAATTACATGGTAACATCTATATAACCCCGAATTACATGTTAACATCTCTAAAAATATAGATACTATTATCAGTATAATCCCATATCGCGTATTCAGCATCTCTTAAATTAAATGTTTCCACACCAACTCCCTAAACTACACCACAAACTAATCCCGCCCCCTCCCCTCCCCCACTAGCAAAAGAATATACAGCCCCTTATTTTTACAACTTTAAAACCTCAGGTGCATTAACAAAGTAATTTAAATACAAATTTCTCTTCTGGAATCAATAACCCGTAACTAAATGAGAACCCATCAACCTATATACAAATGTAGACCTATTCTCGGACCAATAACCAATAACTAAATGAGAATTTGTTAATCTATCCGCAAAAAGCCATCTACAATAAACCATAACAATGACTGAGCGTTGAGGAATATAATTTATCAGTATAGACAGTAAAACAAGGAGGCTAAATTATTGGGCAGCCTGTGTTCGTGGGATGACTACGGCTTTGCCAAGACACGCCTTCTGGGATTTTGCCACAAAGCTATGTTGGGTAGAGAATGAAACTAAGCAAGCTGGAGGATGAGACAATGCTAAGCAAGCCCAAAAGATTTCAAAGGATGAACAATGTCACCTGACATACCTGTCAATAACGTACAGTCCGATTATGCATAAAATAAAAAAAAAATATGCTAAAAAAGGGGCGGCGCCCGCACTCCCAGTCCCGATGGACCCCCTCCTTAATATTAACTAAATAAACAAACATTGTTGCTTGTATCAGTTTCTGAACTCATGTAGTAGTTATTGAACTTTGTTGTCATTCTTGAACTAAAGTGTCTTTATTGAACTACAAAAAAGAAAACCCGCTAAATAATGACCGGTCCCTAATATATATAAATTACTATTACAGGTAGAGCAGACAAGAAGTCAAGTGCAAGGAAAATTTTCAACCATCACCAGATAGTAGATTTTTTACAACAGCAACAGAACTTAACAGTAATTCTGCATGAGCTCATTACGCTTGGCAACTGCATGACAACCTGGAGTCAAGATATTTTCAAAACCATTAACTTCCTCTTCTATGTCACCCATAAAGTCTTCCCATTGATCACCGCTGTCAAGGCATACATTATGTAAGGTGCATGCAGCAATTATTACTGTTGGAATATCCTGGATTCGTAACATGTCCAGGTATTTCAGTCTGCGAAATCTTCCCTTTAGCAAGGAAAAGGCCCTTTCAATAACCATTCTTGTAGATGAATGGATGAAATTGAATCTCAGCTGCTGAGGTGTTAAATTGCCACGATCTTTAAAGGGTGTTATCATCCAGGTCTCCAAAGTGTATGCGGAATCCCCCAGGAGGTAGGAATCATCTTGGAATTTGTCATTGACAGTTTTATAGAAATCTGAATTTTTAAAAAGTCTTGAGTCATGCACACTACCGGGCCAACCAGCATAACAGTCGAGAAAGCGCATTTCATCGTCGCAGATGGCAGTCAAGTTGACTGAGTGAAATTTTTTTCTGTTTATGTAATTCTCGGGACACTCCTGCGGTGCTTTTACAGGAATATGCGATCCATCAATAGCACCTCTTACGCCGGGCAGTCATTTGTGCTTACGAAAACCTTCCATGATCACCTGAGCTCTTGCCTGGTTCGGCCACACAATAACCTGGCCAGTGATGTTATTTTTCAGCGCTTTGCAAACTCTGTTGACAGATGTAAATACTGAGCTCTTCGTTACATTGAATCTGTCTGATATTGATCTTATTGATTCTTGATTTCCAAGAAACCACAATGTAATCAACAAGTGCTTCTCAACACTTATCGGCTCTCTACCTCCGTGCTGCGGGCCAGTAGGAAGCTCTGGGCAGTTTCCAAGTTCTACAACAAGCTGTTCAAATGTGTCCGCCGAAATGCGAAAATGGCTGCGAAACTCTGACAAATTATAATTGGGAACAACAGTTTCCGCATAACCTTCGATGCGAACCGCTTTACGCCGCTCTGACAACAAGTTATTTGCATAAAACAGGGGCAGAAACTCTTCTAAGACATCTTCTTCCTCTTGTACAGATTCCTCCTCGAGAAATTCTTCAACAAAAGTTGCAAAACCTGCAACAATGACCTTCAATGTCGCCGCCATGTTGCTGTTCACGATGTTACGGAAATTTGTATTTTCCTTCGGAAAACCGCTGTCTGCGTGTTATGTCGCGGGCATTATTCCAGAAACGGAATAATCGTTTTATTGACAAAAGGATGGAATGGCTATTCTGAAATAATCCGGAATGTATTCTTATTCCGGAATAGGGTCAATCGAACGCACCCTTAAATAAACATTCTACTTTAATCGACCACCGGTACGTATCCCGCCTACCTTGACACTTGTCTTCATACAAAACGCGGAAATGAGTCAATCTGATTGGTTACATGCCGATAAACAGGAAGACTACTCGGTATACAGTGCACGATTTGGGGACAACTGATTAAGGACACATAGTTTGTGATCGCATCACATGCTCACACAATCACTATACCTTATTAACTTGAATTTTTAGTAACGTCACCCCAATAGCATGCCGGTCTGTTCTACCATTCACTTATCATGTGAGGTGACACAAATTTGGTTCACGAATTCTAGTATCAGTACAAGGCTTTAAAACACGCAGCGTCACAAGGCATCACAAGGTATCACAAAGTATCACAAGGTATCACAAAGTATCACAGAGTATCACAAGGTATCACAAGGTATCACAAAGTATCACAAAGTATCACAGAGTATCACAAAGTATCACAAGGTATCACAAAGTATCACAAAGTATCACAAGGTATCACAAAGTATCACAAGGTATCACAAGGTATCACAAAGTATCACAAAGTATCACAAAGTATCACAAGGTATCACAAGGTATCACAAAGTATCACAAAGTA